TCCAGCCACTTCGTTGCCAATGCAGCGAGCAATGCCAGGGACAGTATACTTGTCGAATCGTTCAAATTTGGCGTTCGTGAGCACAATTTACAGACATTATATGTTCTATAGAGCAGCCTTTCGCCGTAAGCACACTTATAGTTGCAAGTGATTCTATTTCATCACTTATGATGCTTGCTTTAATATCTCAGCATGTGGAACATTCCCTTCGAGACACAAAGAGATGCAGCGTTGGCATTTTATGCCTGTTCATGCCATAAATGGCGGATGTTCAGCTTCACCTTCACTTGTTTTTCATCACATGACCCGACTCGCCGCCAAGAACTGACCCAGTGACGTATGCCATGAATTACATTACCTTATTACGAACACACCAACCCTCGCTTCACACCGCTCGGGTTATAGTCACTGTTCGCTGATCACCGAAGTTCTCAAAAAAGACATATCGCAAAATACCGTGCATGTCTGTCATTTATTGACATCACAGCACGGCGATGTCAAAACACTGTCACGTGCCAAATGCGCACAACGAGATGATTATGGGCGACCCATCCAGATCATGATACACCGATTTGTAAGTGATTATCTTTTCTTGAAGCCGTACTTCTTCCGTTCATAAAACAAGTCGGTCTTGGAGCTTCCCAAGTTGACGATTTTAGGGCAGCCGTCCCTCTGGAAAAGATAACGTTTGACTGTCAGGACATTAAAACAGGAATAGCGCTACAACACTGCGTTTACATGCTATCACTTTGCAGGACAATAAAACCGGAATAAAGCTACGACACTGTGTTTAAACGTCATCACTTTACAGGACATTAAAACCGGAATAAAGCTACGCCACCGTTTACATGTAAGCTCCGCTACGTTTACAGCTCATCACTTTACAGCAGCATTTTTATCCAAACGGTCAAACAGCATAGCGCGGAACTTACCCCCTCCTTTCCGCACAAGCCAGTTATCCTTGACTTTACCATGCCCAGAACTTCCACCATCTTTCCCGATGACTTCCTCAGATCTGACCGCACGCACAGAATCCCCTGCCGCCCACCCACCCCTCCCCACCCTACCTGTTCACGTTCGGGCATTTCCGACTGGGCACAACGTGGGCTGTCAAGCACGAGGAAACAGAAGCGTGGCCGACCTACCTGCTACGGTCTGGTATGAGACCTCCAGATTCCTAATTCGACATGACTCAATTTCCTGCGCATGATATATGGTAATGGCTTAATAACGTTGGGCATATTCCAAAACAGTTTCTCAAGCAAACATGCAGACTATTGCAGCACTCCACCCCAATTTTGATGCCACTATGTTTTTGCCTGGAGTTGTTTTTTTATACCACAATAATTCTGCGGAGCTCTGGCTTTCATGAAACATGAGTTTGTGGTGCAAAGGTGGCACTTCCATTATAGCGTTCCTTTGATCTACGACGTCAATTGATCTCGAAGGACAAGGCTCAAAAGAGGCGCAACATATCTCGTGCTTCAAACTTCCTGGGTCTTAACCCTTCACCTGGGTAGTGTTTTTCTGCTCACTCAAGAAAAATTAACAGCAAGCAACTCTTGTGACAGGCCCATTTGATAAACCTCCACGCAATAACACCGGCCAACCAAGCATGCCACCGCCGCAGACGTCACCATCCCACCGCGCAGCGCCGCCCGGCCCAGCACTCACGTCCTTCTCCTGGATGGTGCACTCCTGGCAGTAGTAGGCGTCGCTGATGCCGGGCCCGCCGCAGATGACGCAGCGGCCCTGGTACGAGCCGTAGTTGCACTCGTCGCAGATGCGCACCAGGGTGCACGGTCGCACGTACGAGTCGCAGATGACGCACTTGCCATCGCACTTCTCGCACAGGCGGCCGATGGCTGTCGGGCGGCAGGAGGTGAGAGGTCAGGGAGCGGGAGTGATGGACAATCTGATGATGGGCAGCTGATGCATACCACTAGAGATATCAATGTTAGGGACATCATTGCTATAGTTTTGATTTTTGGGTATTATGTCACAAATACATTTGGTCTGCATGACACTTTTTTGGTCTGTGCCATACATCATCTAGCCTTTATGTCACAAATAAACTTGGTCCACATGAATTGAAAATTTTGCATGGATCTGCATGAAACTTCAGGTATGCTTTCACAACACTTTCACTTGCTGGAACTTCAACTAAAAAATGTATGTGCTGCAGCTCAAGCCATGCCGCTACCCAGAGCTTGCTTAATTCAGTCTCATTTCACACAAAGGTAAGAACTGACAATTTCTGCCAAGTTTCAAACATCAAATATGAAAAAAGATGGGTATTGTTGATATTGTATACAATGAAACAGCAGTCTGCAAAAGGTGGCAGATCAGCCAATAAGGCATTTGGGGCAGGTACACTCCTGGAAGCAAAAATCCACAAAGTGAGTTTCAAACCTCCATGATGCTGCTCACAAAAAACACAGAGGATAAAGAAATTTGTGGCTGGTTTACCTGCTCAGAGCAAACACTGGAAGCTGGCATGAGCAAAAAGTCTCATGTTTACACCATATTTTTGTTTCAAATATATATATATATATATATATATATATATATATATATATATATATATATATATATCTATATCACTCCAAGCACTTTAATTTTATCAGTGGGTCCATGTATACAGGCACTGTGCCAGCAGCCACATGCAGGACCAGACTGGATAAAAAAGCACTGACCAAGACAACTATGACACAGCTGAAACAATCCTGATGCACTTGGCCTTTGGACTGCATTTGCTTTTATTGATTGTAGGTCCTTTGTACTAAATGCACTAGGGTGTATCTGCTCGTTCTACCCCATCTCTGCCCTAGTTCAGCGCCTGCCATGAGACACCATGAGCTGCCCCAAGATAGCATGAGCAGCCAAAAGAGGTCCAGGAACATGCCTTATGATTCCACTCTGCCCACATGGAATTCTGCCAAATTCTGACATGTTTTACAGATTTGATGTCACAGAAGCATCTTAAAATGTGGTTACATTAATAACATTGAAAATCAGGCTACACAAAGTAGAATAATAAATTGTCAGAGATTAACAAATGTGATCTTGCATACAATATCGACATAAAATTAATGGCTTCCCGATTAATTCACAAACAACCGTTTTCCAACAGTATCGCGACACCATCACACACATGATGTACACAAAGGGAATCCTACAAAAGGTGTTGAGCCTAAAGCCCCAGTCCTGGGGATCTTCTCATGCAAAAACTCCTACATCAAAAACTTGCACGAACTGAAGACAATTTGAGCAGTCAATGATGACAAACTGCTATCAGTCATTTACCTTGTACAATGCAATGCAGTTGCTCCATGAACACAATACTGTTACACATGACTGCAAACACACAAAAATTGTGTCCATTATTTTGCAACCCATGAAAATGATGGCATAGCTAAATGCATGTTTTTGTGTCTCCCTACTGAAAGAAACAGCCTGAATGTTTGTTTGCGATGGCTGCCGATAGCAAATCAAGCACTTACCCACACCAGGCTGCTTCCTGCAAAAGATTAGATCGGGATGGTGCTTCGCCATTTCCTGCTAGTCGAAGTAAGACCCCGGGGTTTGATTTCAGGAGAAAATTTCAGAAATGCGCTTGTCTTAATACCGCGGGAGCACCTACAAACGCCCAAAGCAACTGTGACAGCCCGAGCACCACGCCGTGCCGAATCAGGGCAATACAACACCGAACGTTCTGGTGTCGGCAATGGCGCAATGAATGTCACAGCATCGTCATTTTCGAAACTTTTAAGTTATTTGTAAACGGAAGCACATACAAGCCTTGCTGACGTCACACAGGGACATCCATCGCCGACACCCCTGCGCTATCACATTAACACGCGCTCGGGGGGGGGGGGGCGGGACGAAATTGACCCCGAAGGTTTTTCAGAATGGCTTCCGAATGGCGCACTGCAGCCGCGGCAAAATTTGCATGGCTGTAGACAATTGAATAGCGGATGGTTTGGCATCGAACATTTAGATAACCTTGTAAGGTCGCTGGCATATGGCAGGTCAGTCAGACCATGGTTTCAGCGAAGTCAATTTGTAGGGAATCGTTCAATCTGATGCAACAACGGAGTGTTAGACGAAGCCATACATCTCTGAGATGCTTTCTTAGGTAACACAAATATTGAATGATCAAAAAACCTTGACCTGAGGTCAGGTATAAATGTCATACCAAGGTCAAAACCAACCTGCTTTATTACTCTAGGGCTTGCTGTATGGGATAGTTTCTGGTGCTCATTTCGAATTTATTGATAGCAGGAGCCGCATTTTACATCTTCCATGGCCTTCTTAGAGGTCAGAATAGGTCATTGACCTGAAGTGACCCTGGTCGGCATTTTTTTGGGAAGATACTGCCTGGGGTAATCTTCGTCGCTTATTCATGTGCAAAACCCAGAGCAGTCTTGCGGGATTTTGATCATAATGACCTTCAAAGGGTCAAACAGGGTCACTGACGTTAACTGAGCATGTGATCTGTTGCTTAGAAACATTTATCTAGGTTATCGGGGCACTTTGGAGACCAAACTAGCATTTGACTTTGTTTGAGCTTATTTTACCCGAAGGTCATGATCTAGGAACCTAAAACTTCGACCTAAGTGAGTTCATGTACAGGCCAGCACACCCTGTAAGGTTGGTGTCTCTAGCTCTCTTGGTTTCCGAGATCTCAGGGAGGGGGGTCAGGTGACCCCCCTACCCGAGCGAGGGCTGTCTAGCCGGCCACCCGGCGCGTGTTAGTTCAACACGTTTCAACGGCACACTTAACTTCTCCATCGTTCACCGAGTCGTGTTTAAGTTATGTCTTCTCTGTAACAACTAAAGCAAAATACGCCACCACCAGCACCAATAATTGGGGGGCAGAAAATAATTTGTCGTGCGTACTGAGCATAAACATAGAAGTCTGAGCAAAATTACAGCGGATTTCACGCCCATAAACGGTGCATGACTCGAGTAAAACACATGCATATATTGAGACCAAATTGAAACATACTCTCCCTTCTTCGGATTGTATCTTGCATGTGTATTTTCGTAATTGGCAAACCTGCCAAACAACACGTGGATAATATACTAAATCAACGAGCGTACGGCGTGTTCCAACAGCCATGCTTAAGTACGACGCCACGACCGGAGATAACGCCATATTTAAGCATTGGAATCGCACCACGCACGAACACTCGGCCACCCGGTCACCGAACAACTCCCCACCTGCTGGCGACCATTCGCGCGGTTCGGTCAATTGGCGCACTGCTTCTCCATGGCCCGCGACACCTCAGCAGCCACGCGCGTGTACAGCCGGTCCAGCGGCAGTGCGCCATCCAGGTAGATGACTCGACCGCCGTCCACGCAACGCAGTTCCGCCAGGTGGCGCTCGTACATGGGCCAGACGCATGCGTCGAAGTAGCCAGGCACGTCGGCGGGCTCGTAGTGGCGATGCTGGCGCCGCTCCCAGCAGATGCCACGCTCCAGCGTCACGTAACACTGCACGTCACAAAGCGCGCGCAGCCGCGCGTCGTTGAGCACAAGGAAGCCTTCGATGATGAGCAGGCGCGGCGCAGCGTCGCCGGCCGGCGCAGGCTGCGCCAAGATCGCCGCCACGTCTGTCACCATCCGGCCCGTGTCGATCGAGGACAGCAATTCCCAGTTCAGGTGGTTGACGCCTGGCGCCGGCACATGGCGCGGGTCGTCCTCCGGCAGGAAGTAGTCGTCTTGCGCCACGAGCACGGAGCCGGGGTATGCGGCGTGCAGCATGCGCGCCACGGTAGTCTTGCCGCCGCATGTGACCCCCGACACCGCCGCCACGCACCAGCCGGCCATCGCACGAGAGGGGGTGCAGGAGCGGCCCGCAGACTCAGCGAGTCAGAGTCAGAGCTGTTGAGTCGGAGGTCGAGGGGCTGACGCCCTCGCGACGCGAGCACGGCGTGCGCGCCAGGCGACCGCCGAACGCTTCGCCGATCAGCTAGCTATGCGCTGGGTGATCGCTTGCTAACGCGCGACGAGCTAACCGGTGGCACCGTGCGTCCTTTGGTAGATCATGCGAATCCAGCGGCGTTCGCTCCCCAGCGTAAAAAGACGGACAGGTGTATTGGTTCAGCTCTGAGGACTGACCCCGCCGAGCGCTTGGAGTGTAGGACCGGCGCGCAATACTTGTGACGCTGAAGCGGTCAGGCGCTCGCCCGTTCACTCAGTCAAAGTCAGAACCAGGCACGTCACGCGGCCGGCCTCTTACGCGGACCGACAAAGTATTCCCGCTCGAATCGGGCAAAGTCCTCCTCCGAGAAACACGACCTGGGCTGCTTTGACTTCTGCTGAGCAGGGGCGGGCTGAGCAGAGCGCCGTTGCTGATACTCAACCACCTGGGGGATGGATCACATCTGATGTTAGGAAATGCATATGTTGATAGAGAAACAGGCATATGCTTAAGTGGCTGCATAACAGACGAGTGCAAACATATGCAAAGACAGCATATTTGCACAAAAGCATGGAAGAATTGAATTATTTCATATGGTATGTGTCATGCAGCATTGACTTATGTGTTACATCATGTAAATATAACTACATACAACTACACTACATCAAGTAAATATAAATCATACTGGCCTAACATTACCTGCTCTGCAACCTTTGGATTTGTCTTCTTGCTACTGAGAAGTTGGAGGTACTTGATTGTTTCTTCTGTGTTATCCTTTGATTTGTGCTGGTTGTACTTTTTCAGTGAAGATTTGACCTTCTTGCCCTTGATGGTCAGCTCAGGAGCTGGTGAAAAATTGTTGGTTAGGTACCCCAGTGACATGAAACATAGGGTGAGGAATGTAATGAGCAATCATTTGCAACAGGGGCATTCTAAAAGATACTTCATCAATGCCCTCAAAATATCCTGCTACAAGCCCATCATCACCATAGCTTCAAGTGATGCCTTCAGCACAGCTGAATGTTCATGAAATGAGCCATGCATTAACCAGGTAAACTGTAAACTTCTGCAACAGAGACCTATATGAAGTTAATATGACAAAATATGGGAACACCTAAAAGAGATGAGTATACTAACCAGATCCCAGTTTATGTTTCTGTTCTGCCCGCTTCAGCTTCTTTAGTCCTGTTTTGTTAGTTGTTGAACCAGATGCTGCACTTGGGCCCTTCTTTGTTTTTGCTGTCAAGAAAAGGGGGGAAACCTATTAAAGCAAACCTTCACACATCAAAATGAAAACTATCATCTGATATATCATGCACTGGTTCACACTCAATTAGTCCACATGCTCTGTGGAAATCTATTTGCATCCAGGTCAGAGGTGGATATTATGTCCTGTGATTGAAGCAATACATGAACCAGAGAGGGGAATTCTTGTACAATGCTCTTGTAAGCAGTGGTTTATCATATATTACAATGATGGAGAGCCCTTGGCATGAAAAATGCCCACACATCAAAACTAATTTTGCATCTGGTGAATATATAGCATAGATGCCAGGAACTAGTAGCCACATTAGATACACCATAGAAGACAGATTCTCAAGCTGTCCCAAATTATATATGAGCTATACTCATGTTCCTGCATGAAAATAAGCACATTTGATGGCAATTCATGGAAACACACCAAAAAAATTGACTACATGCACACCCATAGACTTCATCATTGGTGAAACTACTTTTCCTTGCAATCCTTTTGAGGACATATCAATTACACTTCAGCATGTAATGAGAGGTAATGAAAATACCCAACCAGTCATGAAACAGGATTTAGGGCACCCAACCTGATTGATTCGTCAAATCTTCACTGAAAAGATCCAGCCCTTTACGCACTAGAGAGGCGCTCATTCTGAGCAAGCTTCAGTCAAGACAAGTCTTGTACGCAGTACGTTTGTTCGATGAACGTGTAAAGGGATCAACGACCCTGAACCTTGCAGAGTATTTCTCAGAAACCGAATGGGACGCGACGGATCCAATGCCCTAGAACAGACGGACCCTAGACCACACGCGCGCAAGCATGGCACGCAAATGAGGAATTGTTTCACACTTGAGACATGTATGGCGCCTTCCCGACATTTGTATTGTTTATGAGCAGGCAGACACGTGCCGAATGTACGCATCCAAGGAGGCGTGCGTGATGCATGATATGCTTGGGGCAGGCATAGAGGTAGGTGATGGCGTGACATGTACACGGTTCATCTGTTGTTTATAAGTTATCTTTTAATTATAAGGCCGTGCACCTCATCACTGGTGGCATATGGGTGTTCTGCAAGTGCTTTTTTGAGATAGTTTTGCGGCTTCGTTTTTGCATTGGCGTTCAGTTATGTGGGAAGTGCTGGACAGCCATTGCTAGGTGTGATGCTGTGACTTGCGAGGTATTGCTGATATGAGAAGTACCACAGGTTTTTTCTATGCTATTACCCAATAACAATTGTTTAGAACAATTAACAAGTTAAATTTGCTGATACAAAGACATGACTAACTAGTCATAACCTGAAATTGGCTGAAGTTTTGCAGGTATCATGAGTAAATGAAAAGCATTTTGTTCAAAAATCTCCAGTACCACAGGAAACTCTTACTGACAAACTTGAATTATTTGTCACGGTCAGCACCATTAAAAATGGCCAGCACTCAAGAAGATGCTTGTGATGGTGATATGAAAACTGAGGACAAGCTAAAGGTAAGTCCTTGACACATGATGTCATCTTCATGCTTTTTTCTGCTTGTTGTGAACTTGAGGATGTTTTTGAAACGAAAGCAGTATAGTCTGCACAAAGTAATTCACAGTCCATGATAGGCATTGCCAATAGGGTTGTGAAAGGCAATATTAGAGTGGCTTCAAAAGTGCTCTTATAGAAACCAATGTTGTGTTTTATAAAGAGCATGTTGTCATGGTAGAGCTGGATTCAGATGACTCAGCATGATATGCCCATCACAACTTTTGCTCACTTATCTGGCCTGCAAGAGATGAATCTGTAAGCATTTATTAGAGTAGTCCTTAGCAACAGTAGAAATGTGACAATACTAGTACCCAATTCCAGGCTTCTAACATTGTGACTCGCTCGGAAGTAGTCGTGGACAGAAATGCTTATACCATTGTAAAGGAAGGTCAAGCAGAAGTACTGTTTCCAAGCTCAAAAGATGTTTTCTACAACCCTGTGCAGGAGTTCAACAGAGACCTCAGGTAAGCCGGCTTGCTGTTTCCGTTACAATGCTAAATATCTGTTATACAGGTACATAGTCCCTCCTAGAGATGTTTTGAGCATAACCAACTGTGTCTGATTTCCATGTTATGTGCACTTTGCACAAGATTTGCACCTTACCTACCTTCTGCTCAATACTGTGATGTGGCCCATTCCCGGCATAAAGCACTTCAATTGGCTTTTGCAGTGTGTCTGTGCTGCGGATCCTGGCAACGCGGCATCAAGAGCAGCTCCGTGAAAAGGAGGAGAAGCTGCGCAGCAAACAGGCAAAGCTTGATTTGAAGCAAAAGCCACTGACTGTTTGTGAGGGACTGGAACTGGAACAGCAGGAGAAGCAGCCAGACCAGGGGGTTGTGGAGCAGCAGCCAGTGCCTTCTGATGACAGCATGAAGAGAGATGAGGAGCCCCAGCTAACTCCTGGTGTCAAGTGCGAGGTAGGCTGAACATACCCTTCAGACTTTCACACCCAACCTTCAGGGTCAGAGCCTTTAGACCTTTTTTGCTGTACATGTGGGTTTATGTACCTGGGATGCCCCTGGCAGTGCTGACAGCTCCACTCTTAGGCAGGGGCCCCATGGACAGTGCACCGTGTTGCTCGGCTCATCATCCCAAAGTTCAACCAGTAGGATCTGCAAGAGGTGCACAAAAAAATGTGATGCTAAGATTCCGGCTCTCTGGCGGCCCACCCCTCACTCCCACAATGTCTTGTTTGCTAATCTATTGGCCTTTGACCCCAAACTCTGACATCTGACTCATCCAGCGAATTAGCCAAGCCTGAGACGCCTAGATGCTGAGTTCGCCCAGGTTCGATGCTGATTGGCAGACCTTGGCCATGGGGAGGAGCAACTGACAGGGAACGCCGATCCTGGGGTGTGATAGCGTGCACAAATGTCGACATGCCTACCGCCCAGGCGGCGGAATACCTCACCACTGACCCAGCTGGCCCGATGTGACGCGTGCTGGGTGCGTCACCGCCACCGCCCCCGTCTGCCGGGCTGGGCCTGGCCGGGCCGCGTCGTCTCAGAGGCCGCTGATCCCCGTTGCAGACGGGCCTGCGCGTGCTGGAGGCTCTAGCCGCGTCCGGCCTGCGCTCGTGTCGGTTCGCGCGCGAGGTGGGCGGCCTCCACCAGGTGGTGGCCAACGACCTGTCGCCGGCCGCCGTCGAGGCCATGCGGCGCAACGTGGAGCACAACGGCGTGGAGGGCCTGGTGGAGCCGCACCAGGGCGACGCCAGGCGAGTGAGCTGTTCCCGGGGCTGAGGCCGGTGCTGGTCACCGCTCTGAGTCACGGTGCAGCGGCGCTCGCTGTAGGCCGCGTGGCACCGATACTGTGCACTGTGTACACTGTGTAGTCGCGCAACTGGCGCGTTATGCTTCGTGGCACGGAAACTGTCTCGGCACATCTGATGCCAACATTGCCACGTCACACAGTGCCAGCACTGCCACGTCACACCTCACAGTACCAGCACTGCCACGTCACACCACACAGTACCAGCACTGCCACGTCACACCACAGTACCGGCGCTATAACGGTGCGTCTTACAGTATTGAAACTGTGACGTTGCACGTCATGGCATCCTAACTCCACAGTACGCTTCACGATGCTGTGGATGTCACAGTACCGGTACTGTCACGGCAAGCAGCACGGTACCGGACCTGTCGGGATACACCACGGTACCGGACCTACCGAGATACACTACGGTACTGGACCTGTCGGGATACACCACGGTACCGGACCTACCGAGATACACTACGGTACTGGACCTGGCGCCACACACCACAGTACCGGACCTGCCGAGATACGCTACGGTACCGGACCTGCCGCCACACACCACGGTACCGGACCTGCTGAGACACGCGACGGTACCGGACCTGCCGAGACCCATCACGTTACCGAAACTGTCGCGGTACGCCTCACGTGGCCAGAACTGTTGCGGGGCACCTCGCAGTACCTGGATTGTCAAGGTACGCCCCAAGCGATCAGTGTATTATAGAAACATCGTCCACCCTGCTGCTCCGACCCCATCTTTAATGGGCGCGTCCCACCTTTGGGACATATTTCAAAACTATACTCCAGTAAAACTTCAGGTTTAGTTACGTCTTACTGTAGCACAGGGTAGTGCCACTGCAACACCGTCAAGACATACTAAGAATATCAATTTTAGTTATTTATATACGTTGAGTTGTTACGCGTGCCACGTTTGAGAACAGCATGGCTGCGTGACCCAAACGTGCGGCAAATATTGGTGAAAATTATGTGATGAAACATAAAAGGCAACCTAGGTAATTCCTTTCCAGGCAAGTTCAAAAGGGATTCGTTCAGATATAACTTAAAGCCCATATCTGGTTGTGTGCTAACGAGCGAAATTTCAGCCCGCTCATAATCTTGCCATTGTTTCCCAGCCCCGCGCCTGCCACAGTCTGCTGATGTACGGCCGCTCACTTCCCCCCCCCCCCCCCCCCCCCCCCGGGTCTGCCGCAGTCTGCTGGTATACGGCCGCTCACTCCCTCCCCCCCGCGCCTGCCGCAGTCTGCTGATGTACGGCCGCTCACTCCCTCCCCCCGCGCCTGCCACAGTCTGCTGATGTACGGCCGCTCACTCCCCCCCCCCCCCCCGGCCTGCCGCAGTCTGCTGATGTACGGCCGCTCACTCCCCCCGCGCCTGCCACAGTCTGCTGATGTACGGCCGCTCACTCCCATCCCCGCGCCTGCCGCAGTCTGCTGATGTACGGCCGCTCACTCCCACCCCCGGGCCTACTGCATTCTAGTGATGTACGGCCACTCACTCCCACCTCCGGGCCTGCTGCAGTCTGCTGATGTACGGCGCCCGGCGGGAGCGGTTCGACGTGGTCGACCTGGACCCGTACGGCTCCCCGGCCGTGTTTCTGGACTCGGCCGTGCAGGCCGTCAGCGATGGTAGGCAGTGACGTCAGCGCCGTCTGTCGTGACGTCACCTGCGGTGCGTGTTGCAGCTGACATCAGGGGCGGCGTAAAGCGATGTCATTCACACCTGCCGGCGGTGCTGGCTGGTTGTTCGGCTGCACTGCTGTTGCAATGCTGGTTGGTCAAGATAACCTGAAACCATTGACATGTATGTAATAGCATCAGATGTTAGTCTACTGATGCTGACGAGCATCAGCAAGCACGGGAAAACATGCCGCTGAGATTCTCAGCAAAATATTTTCCCGTGCTCCCAATCCCAACGCCATTGAAGCCAGCGATCTTTGTGCCAAACTGAGTGTTACTGCCTGTTCGATGGCCACGTTTCTGTAGTTCTGCTTCACTCGCGCCGCGTGGGCCACCGGGGCTGGCGACACACCGAGCTGGCGTCCAACCGAGCGCCGTGTGTGACGCGTCACGGCGTCGGGCAGGCGGCGTGCTCCAGGTGACCTGCACGGACATGGCTATCCTGTGCGGCAACGCTCCAGAGACGTGCCACGCCAAGTACGGCGCCGTCTCCGTCCGCAGCAAAATGTGCCACGAAATGGTCAGTGCTGACATCTTGTGGCGACCCGGGGAATGTCTGCCTGTCGCAGTCGCCGGCGCATAGCAGTGTTTGGTATCGATGATGGCTCGGGTTACGGTGGTGGAAGCGCGGACCGAGGTAGCGGTAGCCAGCAAAATGCCTGTCTACATTGATCGATAGTTTTTGCTTGCTATCGTGTTTATTCTGGATCGTGATAGCACCGCTGTTTTTGCGATCCACGTCAGCTACGTGTGCGGACATCATCGTTCACACGGACTGCAATGGGGGACGAAAGTAGCGGGCAGTGGGTCACGAACCCGCGATGCCTAGCTCACGAGTCAACCCC